CTTTTAAGTACTTGACCGTAGGACCAGGGCAGGTATAAACCAATAACTACAGCCAAAGACCGATTAACAGGTACTTTGATAAAGTTACACATAAAGTACATGAGGCAGAGTCTTCGTTTCTGATTGGAGAACATGGAGAAGGTTTTAGGGAGAAAAAAATTATGCAATTTCAACCTGAAAGAATAGGTATAATTTTCGTGAAAAACAAATGTGGAAACGTAAGGTAAAGCAGTGACTAAAAACATGTCTTTTTGAGATATTATGGGAACACAGTGTGTGTTTCTGGGTTAGGAGTGTGGAGAGTAGGCAGAAAAAAAATTAACCAAGAAAGGCAGATGGAGGCCATATTATAAAAAAAAGTTATAAATGTCATTCTAAAAAATTTGTACTTTATTTTGTTGTCAGAGGGGCACTGCTAAATGCATGAACAGATGTGAATTCTAGGAAAAGTAGTCTGAAAGCATTGTGGAGGATGGAACAAATTGTGTAGAGAACAGAGATTTTATAAAATGTAATGCTTTATATAGGGCAGTGACACTGTGAAAGAAATGAGAGAATGATTCTAAATCATCACAGTACATTGAGCATTTTAAAATTAGATGGCAACCTAAGAAACTCCTCACTTCACTGAGGCCCAGAAAGGTTAAGTGACTTGCCCAAATCCCAGAAGCTGGTAGGATGAAGGAGGGGAGAAACTAGGTTCTCCTGATTCCAAAGCCACCATTGGTTTCCCTCAATCACACTGCCCTGTTTCAATTTGTATCTAAATATGTCATATAAGTGACATCTATTTATGTGTGAAAAGTAGTTTAGATTTCTAGGCCTTGAATGTTACAGACTCATTCTGACCAATTCTTCCCCTAATGACACTACAAGTGTTAGTGTATTTTTATAATCCATATTTTTGAGGTTCTACGTAGCTAATCTGAATAAGCTACAATTAGGGTGATAATAGACCATAAACCATAAAGCCTTATAGTATATTATTAGTTATTATTATTGTCAATTCTTGAAGGAAACACTCTGTATCAGCTACAAGGCAAAAAATACTACAGAATGTTACTGAAGATTGTGCTATAGGAAGTAGAAAATTCCCTCATCATTGTGTGTTGACCTGTGACAACCTTCTTCAAGGCTGCAGGATTTAATAAAATTGCTTTGATCTGCTCATATTTTTTCCAGTTTGAATTTCATTTCAGGATATTATAATAATGTTTTAAATTTCACATTTTATATGATTTATGGATATTCATCAAGATTGGTTCCAAGCCTCCTATTTTAAATATGCCATTAAGATAAAAAGTGTTGTTTTTTCTTAGATTATCTCTTGCATATGCGTAGTATGAATATTTACAATTGTTTTCTTTAACTTCTTGTGACATTTCTCATATCAAAACCAAAGCAATTTAACTTTGAAATTTCTCATGCAAGTATCCTTCAAAAGTGAAGATGCTACTGCTTAAATCACCCTGTACCAATGACTTGCAACTTCTTACCCGCAGCCTTGGACTCTCCCTGTAGCTCCAGATTGGCATCTTACTCTCTTAATGATGGGTACTATCACACATACCCACTTCGCAGATAAGAAAACTGAGATTTAAGAAAATTATTTCCAAGGTCACACTGGTGGTAGGAAGTGAAGGAACTGATATTAGAACCTCATAAGTGCCTTGAAAACAATCAGACTCCATTGATTTTACTACACTTGTAAAATTCTGTGTCCTTCCCAATTTACACACACACACACACACACACACACACACACTAGCAACAGCACATTTGGTTGTATTGTCATTGACATGGTTAAGCAGGTTCCAAATCACAAAATTCAGTGGTGAATATCTCTACTAGGAAAAATTTATTTTATTTTCAGTTGGTCATATTGATAAAATTTTGCTTACTTTTCTACAGAAGACATCAAATTCACTTTATCGGGACATCAGTATTTAAAAATGAGATGATCAGGTCTGATTTGGGTGGGAGTTAAAGATCACAGATCTGATTCCCACTTGTGAAATACATGCAGAAGACCCAAAAAGGCATCCAAGAAAAATGAAAGAAAATGGATCATAAAATCTGATATAAAAGTAAAATATTTTATATTAAAATAGAGGAGACCCTTCTGAATTTATAGAAACTATATATTTAAGACAATGTCTATTTACAGTAAGTTTTATGTATTTTTAACTAACGATTTCCAAATAGAAACCCTTAGTTAAACAAAACTTTGAGCTAAACAGTACCTCCATTAATTGATGCTACTTGTATTTCATTATCCTAACCCTCTATTCCCATTTTTGGAAAAGAAGCATAGAATAGTGGTTAAAGTATATAAGCCTTAGAAACTAGATCCATGGGTTCAAAATCCACCTCTGACACTTACTATCAGTGATGGCTTTTCTGTCTGCAAAGTGAGAATAATAATAGCACCTATCTTATGTCACAATAGAAAGTTTTCAGTTAAATTTATTAAAAATTAATAAATCAGGCCGGGCGCTGTGGCTCACGCCTGTAATCCTAGCTCTTGGGAGGCCGAGGCGGGCGGATTGCTCAAGGTCAGGAGTTCAAAACCAGCCTGAGCAAGAGCGAGACCCCGTCTCTACTATAAATAGAAAGAAATTAATTGGCCAACTGATATATATATAAAAAATTAGCCGGGCATGGTGGCGCATGCCTGTAGTCCCAGCTACTTGGGAGGCTGAGGCAGAAGGATCACTCAAGCCCAGGAGTTTGAGGTTGCTGTGAGCTAGGCTGACGCCACGGCACTCACTCTAGCCTGGACAACAAAGTGAGACTCTGTCGCAAAAAAAAAAAAAAAAAAAAAAAAAAATAAGGATCACTGCATCTTACCTTATGAAGTGTTTTTTAAATTAAAACTAAAATATATTTATATGAATTCAAGTGGAAATTTCAATCATGCACATGCACCATGAAGTGTGGATGTATTCATCAAGACTGAAGGTCACCTCTCCTACAGGAGAGGAGAATAGTGAGAAGGAATGATCAAATATTTGAAGTGATCAAATGAGTGTGGATAAGAAAAATAAAAATGTTTTTGATGTACTTTTTGTTCTCTGAAAAACATCCATCTGAAAAACAGAAAAGTAATGCCATATTAATCACCATACATTACTAATTTTTCCAATAAACCTAATTCTCACCTCATTACAAAAAAGAACTCTTGGGAATAGAAGGCATAAAGCTGTCTTACAAATTTATTTTTTTTTAAAACGAAACAACCAGAAATCACAGGTGGTCTATAATGTCTTTATCAAAAACCTTTCCGATTTACTTAAATAAATACTGCATCCTTCACAAGTAACAAAGCTTTAAACTAAACAATCCTTTCAGTGTTACATAAGCCTGCATTTTCAGGTCCTGAAAGCTCTGGCATTAGTCAAAGTAATCACGATATTTTCTCTTTAGCTGAGTGTAGGTCTTTCAGTAAGCTTATATTTCTTGATGGCCAAGTCCATGTCTTGTTTACTGTAATAATGCCTGGCACATTATAGGTTGAATGAATGAATAATTGAACACAAAAAGATTACACAAAATCTAGAAAGTACATTCATTGTACAATGCGTAAGGTTGAAAGTTTACACATTAAACTTGCCTCCACTGTGGCTAACATTCTTGTTAAATTTCTCCAAAATGTAAACCCCTTGTAGTTTCTGGGGGAGGGGTCCAGCAGTGCCTGTACATAGAGAGATGGCATCTGGGGGGACAAAGAGCTATGTACATGCTTTCTATAATACAAGACCACTTACTTTATTTGTGTAACCTACCCCTACACCTACTGAAGTACTTATAGACTCAATATACTTTGTGCCCCATTTGGGATAACCAGACGAACAGATGACATGAACAGATGATGAAAGTTAGAATTTTGGATAAACAATAAATAATTTTAGTGTAAATATATCCCAAATATTACATGGGACATGCTTATAACTAAAAATTATTTATTACTATCTGAAATTCTAATTTCACTGAAATTCTAATTTCACTGGGCTAAATTGGATAACTGTAGTCTAGTTATTATAATACATTAAGGTTTACTCATTTATTCAATTAGTTATTTATGAACAAGTATTTATTGCTTCATTACATTATTAAATGACATATTGCATGCCTACCGTGTTCCAGGAACAATTCTATGCAATGAGGACTCAGCAATCAATAATCCTGGCTGACTCTCACTTCATGAGCATTTATTTCAATGGGAGATCAGGGAGAGATGAAAAATAAATAAATGAAATGTTAAATTGGCAAAGTAATTTCAGTTAATGATAAGTACCATGAAAAAAAATCAAGCAAGGTGAGGTAGAGAGTGAAGGATGGATCAAGGGCCACCTTAGATAGAGAGTACAGGGAGGTATCATTAAATAATGAAAAGAAGTCAGTCATGTAAAGAGCCAGGGAAGGAACATGAAAGGAAGAAGGAACAGCAAGTACGGAGGCCCCTAGGCAGAAATGAGTTGAACTGTTATAGGAAAAGCGTGAAGACCAGTTGGATTGTAGTGGGCAGGGACTAAGGAGTGGCAACAATGTGGTACAGGAAGAGTAAGCAATTGAAGAAACAGCCAAAGCATGCAGAACCTTGCATCCATGGTATGACATTCAGATTTTATTCAAGTAGAATAGGCATCACTAGCATGATCGAGGTAGGAAGTGATGTGATCTGAAATACTTTTACAAAACCACTAGGAATGCAGTGTAGAAAATGGATGGGTGGAGAGGAAGGATAGGTGTGAAGGGGGAGCAGCAGTAAGAAGGTGAAGGGTGACAAAGGCTCATAGCAGGCTATGACAGGGCTGGGTGAATTGGAGATTCATGTAAGGTAGAAGCAATAGTATTTATGAATAATTTTTAACTCTGAAAGCAGAGAGGAGTAGTGAGAGCAGGGGAGAAGGCCACCTGTTTTATGCTTCAAGATGTCCTGATCTGATGTATGTCCGATGTATAAGAATAAATTGATCTTCTATGTTCTTCATTCTCAGTTGCCTATATTGGCATCATCGGTGGTTAGCCTCTATTTCCTTGAACTCACCGATGTCTTCAAACCTGTACACTCTGGATTTAGCTGCTATGACCGGAGTCTTAGTATGCCGTACATCGAACCAACCCAGGAGGCGATTCCATTCCTCATGTTGCTAAGCTTGGCTTTTGCTGGACCAGCAATTACGGTAAGAATTGTCCCCCAAATTACATTTGTCAGTCCCAGAATACTAATAGTGACCACACTTGTACAATAAATGGGTTAGAAGCAAGCAACCCTAAACCTTGAACCAGAAAGATCACGTCTTTGAGATATTTTGACAGCATCAGGCAGAAATAGTTAATAGCTTAAAATTATTGGCATTAAAAGTTAAACAAGATCATATGATTTCAAAATCGATTGATCCCTCATGTTTACTTTTATAAATCATTATGAAAAGTTTTATAACTGTATAACTCTCCTTGAATGGCTTTTATGACATTTCTTATATACTTCCTAATTAACATATTTCTCATGTGTGTTTAGTATCTGAAGCCTGGAAAGTTGGGAGGGAAAACAAATAATTATATAGCCAACAGACTATCTTCTCAAAATTGCATTTTAATATCACTCACAGTTTTATTTTTTATTAGATTATCACTTTTTATTGATTATAAGTCATGAGCATCAACAATTGCAAAGCAAAGAAGTCAAAACCCACATTCTAGCCATGCATCTGTGTGCACATACAGACACACTCAAAGAACAGATGCTTTAGGTTTAATATTTAATATTTAACTATTTAAATAGTATTATTAAATATTTAAAATGATCCATATCCCATTATTCTGATTTGATCTTTAGGCATTATACAAATGTATAAAATTATCATGTTTGCCCCAAAATATGTACATTATGTATTAATTAAAAAATCCAAAATGAAGTATGTACATAAAGAAATGTCCTAGTCTACTGGAAATGACTTAAAAACATAATTGTTTTTATGTATTAATACACATTTTGAATAACACCCTTTTAGATAAATCTATTGATAAATAAAACTAGCCAACCGTTTCCACAATCTCTTCTTCCCCTAGAATACTACCCAAAGGACAAGAAACATGTTTCAAGGGTAATGACATTTATTTCTACCAGTAAGAGCTCTTGTGTTGCTTTTATTATGCTCATGAATGTCAAAGGAAGTAGTTATTAAATTAAAACCTATATTTGAATGGAGTTTTTATAAGATATTCTAATTAATTGGCCTATTCAGGTTCAGTACAACAGAAGTTTTAGAAAAGCTTCTGCATAGATCTTCTGAACTCTATACTTTTATAAAGCTACCCATTTTTTAAAATTTCCCTTCCCTTATATTAAATAATCATAACATGCTAATTACACTATAAACAATTTATATAAAATATTCTCAGATGATAAAATTGGAATTGAATTTCCCATAGAATTTTATTATATTTATTTTTTTTATTTCAGCATATTACAGGGGTACAAATGTTTAGGTTACAATCTATTGCCTTTCCCCCACTTGAGTCAGAGCTTCAAGCATGTCCATCCCCCAGACCCATTAGTTGTGAATAGGTCTCAAAACACTTTGTAATTTAATGAATTATTCTACAGTGACTCCCAGGTGATTAGAACTATTAAGGATGTACTTGGAAGTAGCTGAGACTCTGAGACTAATAAAACATTTTTAAGGTACAATATTGCTCAGAATAACAGCATTTTCCTATCATTTTTCTATAGACTTTTAACAAAAATCCGTATCATCTAATCATTTGACCAGAGCAGAAAGAATATAGATTTTTTTTTTTTTTTTTTTTTTTTTTTTGAGACAGAGTCTCGCTTTGTTGCCCAGGCTAGAGTGAGTGCCGTGGCGTCAGCCTAGCTCACAGCAACCTCAAACTCCTGGCTCAAGCAATCCTCCTGCCTCAGCCTCCCAAGTAGCTGGGACTACAGGCATTCGCCACCATGCCCGGCTAATTTTTTATATATATTAGTTGGCCAATTAATTTCTTTCTATTTATAGTAGAGACGGGGTCTCACTCTTGCTCAGGCTGGTTTCGAACTCCTGACCTCGAGCAATCCGCTCACCTCGGCCTCCCAGAGTGCTAGGATTACAGGCGTGAGCCACCGCGCCCGGCCAGAATATAGATTTTAAATCTATCACACCAGAAAGCATTTATCCTAACTGGGGCAAAGTGCCCCCAAATTATTATAATTGATATATTTGATATATAAAACAAACTACCACACAAATATTCATAACTGCTGAAAAGACTGTGTTGGTATTTAATCATGTATGTAAATAATTTGCTTTCTATATATCCAGAAGTCTTCCTTCCCTAGGGTATTTTATCAAGTTGCTACAAAAGCAAGTTTAATTGCGGCACTCCCTGCCAGCACCGTTTATCTCAGGTTGCTTCCTTTGCTGACACCGTTACATGTCCTGGGGACAATGACCTTGGCCTCATCACTGTGTAACTGCTTCTGTTGACTCCCTCATTTCCCATAATAAGTTCTCACTATGTAGTTTGGGGATGCTTTCTGGGGGATTCAGGATTGAAGCTTTCTTTCGCAAGCCCTGAAAAATGAAAGGGGAAATCCGTCATGGCCCCCTTCTACAAAGCTGACCTGGGAAGCTCAGTGCTTACTCCTTCCACTAAAGCCCTACTCGATTCCCAGGTCTCCACAGGGCCCCACAGCTGCCCAGTGCCTCTTAATCAAAGGAGAAGCAAACTAGGGTACTATTTAGACCTTGGGGTCCCTAATTTCCCCATATCACTCCGGGATACTCCAGAATGCTGGCAATGCTTTTCTACCACTCTAGTTTCATAGGTTATGGGCAACCAACTCAGTGCGGAGACAAATCTTGACTTTGCTGACATCAAATATTGTATTTTCACACCTTTCTCTCTAAACACATACCATACTTCTTCTAGATTATGGTCTAATTTCATTTTTCCCTATGTTTTTAATGCCTTCTCCCAATACATACACTTTCTCAACAGTAATCCTATAATGTCTACAGTCATTTTGTTCTGGAACCATAATTCTATCTCTAATCTTACTACATATATTACCCATCTAACTCCTTTTCCACCTCTTCCTGAAGATGAAAATAACAGACTCTGATCTCTAACTTTCAAGGATGCCATTTTCTTTTTTATCTTTATGTTGGAATAAACCTGCTCCAAAAATAGAGAGGGAGGCAGGAGGATTCCTTCACTTGGAAATGGCTATTAAGAGTGCATTTGTATGAAGAGGGGCTTCCTAGTGTTACCATCCACATAGAGGGAAGGCAAAGCAAAACCAAAGACCTTGCATTGGTGATATTCTCCAAAAGGACCTTCATATGAATACAAGGAAGAGCAACTGATTTTTTATTCAGGAATTTAAATACGAATCATTTAGTGTTTGCTTCTCAGATATTTTTATGCTTTGAGAGATGTTTAAAAATAGCTTGTCTTCGTGATATTGTACATGAAACTGGAAAAATGCCTTTATGTCTGTGAAATGCATATTCTTATTTCTCTGAAACTGCCCTTAAATTGGAAAAGCTCTTCCTTAATATTCAGTTTTCATTTATTTTAGAGTGCTAAGACAGGCTTTTTGTTTAGGTCCTTCGGAGATTATTTCTCAGAGAAAATAACACAGAATATCTGGGTTTATCATAAATCTTCATGAAGTCTACGTGAACAGAAAAACTATGTAGTTTTTCTTCTCTGGAAATACAATTTTATTACATATTATTAAAGAATGAATACATCTAATTTTATAGGAGAATTCTATCAGAATTTAATTATAGTTCCTAGAGGGTAGCCTTCGCTTTAGGCTGTTCAATCAACATGCAGAATATTAAATGTGTTATGGCTTCCAAAAGACATTCACTGGAAATTTAAATGTGAAAGATGCTGTGATGAATATTATAATGTTTTTCTTTTGTTTTTCTTTTTCTATATTTTACAGGAAAGACTTTTTGAATTGTAAGTTCTCCCTATATTAACTATTCCAAGGGCGATATCCTTATAATAGGCCATATATTTCCTCTTGAACTCTCCCCTGAAGCAGAGTCATTAAAATATCTCTTCTCAAAACCTGTCCCTGATATGAGACACACACCAAAAAGTTGTATTGTGTCTTTTCAGGGCTGAGTACAACACAAAACAGAGACTGTGAAAAGACACTTGTCATAAACTACTTTCTGTTTACAAATGGCAACAGCAACAACTTTATTATCAAAACCTAAATCTTGACACCATATTGCAGTTCAGCACTGTGCCTTTCACAAGGGGGAAATAAGCAGGAACATTTGTAAATGCATTAGGAGGCATCACTCCTTCTCCTAAGGAGAATTCTATCTTTAAGCCAAATTAAATCATTTCGACATATAGATTGAGGTTAAGTGAATAGAAGTGTGAGGAGAAAATTAATGTGCTCCTTAGGGAGAGGGATAGTTGGATGATGTCAAAATACTAACAAGAAACCTCTAACTATGCTATATAATCAAGCAAAATAGTGTTGATACATTCTCTTGACATTTGACTTCTAAGCATATTAAAACAACTAACATAAAATTCCTAAAATCTCAAGGTCATTGGGGATAAATACTGTGATGTCATATAAGACACATTTCCCTAATAAATAAATTGTACAAATTATCTGTACAAATAAATTTTTGTATAATTTAACACCCATGAACAAGACGTAAATCATTAAACATATAATTGAAAAGAGAAAAACACAATTATTCATAGAATTGTTACTGAAGAAGTGAAGATGAAATCAATCTCTTTTAGCTGTATAACAATGCATTTCAGGAATAATGGTTACTTTTCTAAAACTGATAAATTTGAAATACCCATTACATTGTTCTTTGTATTATGTCACATCTATCTACACAGATACAGAACCTCTTACATTTCCAAGTCTAATTTGAAGTGCTGAGTGTAGGATGAAATTTTTCAGGAAGTATAAAAGATTAACTCAATGATCAATGATTTAAAATAAATTCCTTTTGATTATTTCTATAAGGATCAATCTTAAAAGAGTTTTTCATGCCACATGATTTTCACATGGATGCGTATGGGTAGAGTTCTATTATGAGAATTATTTTTAAAATTTTTATATAAATTAAGATTCTTTGTAAGTGTACATGTACCATATTACCTACAGAACTAAATATAGCAATTTAAACAATAAAAGCAGAAGGCCATAGGCTCACTGTCATTAGATTATTAAAAACCACTCTATAATTTTGAACACTTCATAAAATAAATTTTAAGATAGTAACAAGAACTGGGAAGTTTCCCTAGAAAATCTGTTTTAGCCCTAATCATGGCTGTAATCTTTACAGTGACATAATCACTTGCATCTGAGGCACTGTTAGTATCCCATATAGCCCTACTTTTCTCAGCTCCACACATTTATACAAATAAATACCTAATTTTACAATAATTTCTTAGGTACAACAATCTCAAATATTTGAAAAATTTTTGCATAAATTAAACTTATAATTTTAAATTTTGCTTCTATTTCTATGTATAGCATAAATGACAACCCAAATGTCTAAAGTATTAAATAGCTAGCAAATGTGAGTCCCACAGTAAAGGTCAAAAACACAATCTACAGTGCCCAGCACCATGCTACAGTAATGGTAAAGATAAAAGGTAAATAAGAAATGGTTCTCCTAGTAGAGGGTCCCAGTCTAGTGAGAGACAATCAAATAAACAATTCAATAAAGCCATGTTAGAGGGAAGGACAAGGTGCTAAGGAAGCCACATAGAAGGAGACATAATTCAATTTATAGTACAGTAAAAAGGTTCAGTGAAAACTTACTAAAGAAATGATGCCTAAATAATACTGAGGTCCGTCACTGATCTCTTGTGTCCTAAAATCCTGCAGCAAAATGCACTGTTCCTTAAAATGGTCCTTCTAATAGTACAGTATGGTTCCCTGCCCATTGTAAGCACATTGCTTAAATGTTTATACCTAGGATATACTACCCTGCTGACCTAGATTCTCTTGTAATCTGCATTCCAATAAGATAGCCACTAGCTACATGTGGCTATTTCATTTTAAATTTCATTTTTATTTAATTTTTAAATAATTATAACAATGAAATAAGATTAACAATTCAGCTCCTCATTTACAGCAGCTACATTGCAAGGGCTGATAGCCACATGTGGGTAGTGGCTACTATGCTGGCCAATGCAAAACATAGTTCCATCATCACAGAAATTGTTATAGGATAGCTGCACCCTAGATAGCGCCTCCCTAAGCTCCACAGGTGCTTTCCATGGATCAGTCCTTCTAATCAATCCAAAATTGGTTTATTGACCTAATTGGCCACTACATAGGAGTCCAGCAGATTCAACTAAATCTCTTTACAGTGCCCTGATAAATTACTTCCTACAGCTTGCTCAAATACTCAGGAGAAATTGCTTACACCTCTAAAGCTTTTTAAAATAACGCATCTTTACTTTGTTGATTAATGATGTGTTAAGAGATAATATATAATTCCTTTATACCTGTTGGTATAACGGATATACCAAGAGTTTTGCCTGAACACCCGTTTGTCTCTGCAGATTATGGTGGGAGAAGGAATTCTCTACTGTTGCCTGTCCAAAAGAAGAAATGGAGTTGGCCTGGAGCCCAACATTAATGCCGGAGGCTGCAACTTCAACTCTTTCCTTCGAAGAGCTGTCAGATTTGTTGGTAGGTGTGGGGAAGCACAAAGAAAGGAAATGCTGCTTCAAATAGAAATGTTGTATTTAATTACAGATATTAGGCCTCTAAAGCTATAATTTAGATGCATAATTTCAGTACATGAGTTTTGCATTACACGACAAACTGTTAAAACACCAAAATTTGGGTGTTGTATCTGAAATGTGTTATTTGCAGTTATGGTCCTTGTTTTGAGAGTTAACATGCCATGTGTTTCAGTATATTATTCTTTTAGCTTTGGTTGAAGTATGAATTTACATTAAAATGGTTTCACTGGATCTGTGTTCAGTTTTTTTTTAATGGAGAATGAATATTAAAAGACCAATATGAATAGATAACTTTTTAGAAATTACTCTAGTCAAACTTACTGCACATGGAAATGTCACCATAACAGTACTGCATAGTGGCTATTTTTCCCTGATTATAGCCTCTAAACTTTACTTCCTATCTTTTATGAGATCTAAAGAAAGTCTATAGGCCTGGCTAAACAACATCTGAATCAAACCAGTTTCTAAATATTCATCTTTTCTGATTAACATAGGACTATGTTTGAGTCATAGGCCTTTTTTAAAAAAACTGAATTGAATAGTCACTCACAGTATATCACACCAACTTGAATGTTTTATATTTATTCCCAATAAGACGATCTAAAATTATTTTTACTTATAACATTTTAGTTTTAAAAAGTCAGCTTCATTGACTACATAGTAGATAATTACATATTATCTAATTATATAAGCATATATAGTGAGCAGACAGCTAGACTTCTAAGGATAAGGCCAACCTCCTCTCCCACAAGAGGAAAAATTGGATCTAAATCATGCCCCAGACTCTGCTCCACTAAGCATTTTCTTAACCATCACACTGAGACGGTAAGGAAACAATAGGCCACTTAGCAGGATCACAAACTAAGGCAAGGTAATAAAACTCTAGGATATGTATCCAATCTCAGAAAAAATTTCCCCTAATGGAACAAAATGCTGTGGACAAAGGGGCATATACCCTCTCTGAAATGCCTCATGCCTGGAAGAACAGTCCATCCTACCCTAGAAAACAATGTTCCAATGCTGTCAGCAACCCCATCTTCTGTAGGGCTAGAGATTCTCATTTTCCATAGGCAAAAGTAGACGAGTTTCTCTTTTTATCCAACCTCTCTGCCAAGACCTCACATGCTTCTAGGAATTGGAAGGTAGAAATAAAGTTTCTGTGTCATGAATCTCAGGCTTGTGGATAGAGAAGGAATTGAGGGAGTGGTGGTTAGTTGACAGTAAGCAAAGAAGAAAATTGCAAAAAGGTAATGTGCAAGCCCATGCTCTGAGTCTGGAGGTGTCTACTGAAGAACTACCCAGGTGCTTCTCATAATGATTTCCATGAGCAACATATGAATCAGAATCCAGGCCATCAAATCAGAATGAATCCAGAGTGTCAAGACAACCTGGAGGGGGCAGGCGAGTTCCAGATCACATGCATGTGAGCAAAGAGCTAGACTCCCAAGGATAAGGCCAAACAAGCAACTTCAAGCACGCATGGAGTTTATGTGCATCAGCGTGCATCCAGATTTGTCACTTTATAGTTTAAGACTGGTGGTTCTGGGAACAACAACAAAAAAGAATTTGAATCAAGGGATGTATGAACATTTCCAAATTCCAAACCTGCAGGCAGGCTCCCAGGATATGATTATTGTGTCCATAACAGGCCCTGCCTTCTCTCTTCTCTGTTTTAATTAGCATTCCTAGTACAACTATAGCTTTTAGGGAATTAGAATGGATTCTGCAGAGTTTGGCAATTGTGGCTAGAGTTAGAGACCATTGGGGAGAGAGGGCCCTGGCAAGTTAAACACATTAAGCAATTTAAAATTATTTTAAATTTAGCTTCATTCCCCACATTTAATCCCTCTCAAATCTAACAGTTTGTCACCTTACCAAGCTTATGGTGTCTGACAAGTGACCTATACTTCTCAATGTTAAGAATTGGACCGATTTAGCCAAACTGACAAAAGTGTCTCAAATTACTACTTTGGAGATACTCATTGCCCTTATTTTGGCCTTAAGTATCTGTTTAGAAGTTTAGGAATTTTCTATACTATCTTCTCTAAATGAACTTAGAGAACATGATCACACATATTTTAAGGTTGTCATGTTAATGTGTAATAGACATGGTTGCTGTTGAAACATTAGCATTAACCATCAAGTTGGTAACGATTTCTTTCACTTTGCTTATAGGTGTTCATGTATTTGGACTATGTTCTACAGCTCTCATTACCGATATCATACAACTGTCCACAGGATATCAGGCACCATACTTTCTGACTGTGTGCAAACCAAACTATACCTCTCTGAATGTATCTTGCAAGGAAAATTCCTACATTGTAGAAGATATTTGCTCGGGATCTGACCTTACAGTTATCAACAGTGGCAGGTTAGAAACTGAGATGTAAAAACATTCTACATCAGTGTTTTCATTATTCAGTAATTGCTTGGGGTACCCTCTTAAGCATGCCTTTTCATTCCTAATGATTTTGGTTTTATTTTTTTTTTTCAATTCAGTGATCTCTTCAGAGACTATACCATAGAAACCCATTGGTGGCTCATTCCAAATTTTTCTCTCTGTCTCTAAATTTCAGCCTCACATTCTTGCTATTGGTCCTCATATCACCAAACTCCACTCATAGTTTATGATCTCCCCTATACTAATTGTGAATTTAGGTTACTATACTTGGTTTATTTTAGGATATTTACAGTCAGTCATGGCTGACAGTCAATATATATCTTGTACTGGCTTAAGGAGAAGAATAAGCATCTGTGATAGTTATATCATCACTATTTATGTTTTATCAAAAGAATCATGTGACTTTTCCTTTTGGTAGCATTTGAGAAGGGGTAACATGTGGGACTGCATGTATTTTCTTTGAATGAACCCAAAAGATCTGTACAGCTTCTGACCTTACATTTTAGCAAATAAGGTAAATTCAAGAATCTACTAATGTCTTAAATTTTTTCAATCAGTAAAGTAAAAATAAATTTGTATGAAAAGAGATTGCATATTAAAATCTTAAAAGAAATAAATTACAGAGACATAAGGGACAATAAATCATTATTATAAGAATTGGATTTTCCATTCAGTGAGTTCCCAAATATTGATTAAAAAGAACCAAAAATAAGTTAATAGGTATACCTGAAGAATCAGAGCTTGATACTATATAATTATACACATTCAACTTCTCACAGACCATTCAGTAATTTTGGAACTACATTCAAGACCTGTGTCCTCTATTCTTTCTCAATCCTATTACATTATCTTATCTGTATTGAATGGTAATCTTTATTGTGGTGCCTAATAATTAGGAGGGCACTCATATAAATGTATCTTACTTTTTTAAAAATCCACTGAAAGAAATCTCTACTCTTTTTTTGATTGTCCTTTCCAGTGTCTCTTCCACTATCCTGCGTTCCACCTCTCCCTCCCTGTTCCTTAAATTGTTTAAATAAAATGATCTATGATTCTTAAGATGATAATTATTGTAAAGTGGAATATACAGAGAACATTTTGATTAAAATTAGGCTTTTCTTGTGCTTTTAAGAGTATTTAAAAAAACACATTTAGATCCACTGCTGTGAGAAAATAAATTCATCTTTTAAAATTTTTACGTAAATAAAATCATGTTTATTAGTATAAAGTTTAAAGCTTCTAAATCGTATGATTTATAAACTTTTACTTTAATCTGACATAATTCTAATATGGAAGAACAGTTACAATGTTTTGTACTTTCGCCCATCATTCCAAAGGTGTATTGTAGTGGCCCCTTGCCAAGCTAGCAGTTAATTATACTGGAAAGTACCTCACTGCTATTTGTTAATACTAATGGTGATTAGCAGTGCTTATTTCATCACTCTGGTCTTTCTCCAGAAAACTAAACAGAAATTAAAGTTATTGCTTATTGCTTTGTGGCTTCCAAATTGAACCATTTTAACCACCCAACGTTCTTGAGATGATGGCTAGCAGTGTATCTGAACTCAAAGGCATAATTTGACTGTCTTCTTTTGGCAGGAAGTCATTCCCTTCTCAACATGCGACCCTCGCTGCCTTTGCAGCTGTGTACGTTTCGGTAAGTAACTGGCTCTTTTTCATTGAGTTGTGTCCTACAGAAAATCAGAGGAGTAAGTGTTGTCTCCAGGTGACTAATTAGATCTGTGTAATAACAGAACAGTAAACTTTAGCACTGCGGCTTTTCAATACAATGGCATTCAAAGCAGAAATCAAATACTACTATAAAAAATAGTATAGTAAAGGAATTTTTCTACGCAATATAATAATATTTAGCTTTGTACCCCTTTAATGTAACATTATACTTTGTGGGACCGGATTGTGAACTGCATGAATGATACTAAAACTGAAAGAATTGTATTAAGTACATACACGCACTATTTTAGTATTTATGTAATAATGATAAATTCCAGGTCAGTGTAAATTTGATAAATGTTGCAGAGTGAATAGCTATTGTATCTGATTGATACAGTATTCCATGTAGTCTTTGGTGAGAAAAATGGACTGAAATTATGTGACAAGTTACAAGGAGATTAAGCAGTTAAATGGCTAATTTTACTGCTTTAATTTTGTTCAAATTTTCATGAAATTAAATGAGACATGTTATTTACTTGATGAATTTTTTTATGCATTCCCTTTCTTAGCAGATGCAGAACACAGCCGTAGTATGGGGACTCGAACAGTAAAATTGATGTCAAGTGTACCAGTTAGACTTTTGAGTTTAACTTTTTTATTTGATTATAATTTACTAATAAATAGCCTTTCTAACATACTTACCCTACTTCTTTCATTTTTAAGATGTACTTCAATTCCACATTAACGGATTCCTCTAAGCTTCTGAAACCTCTCTTGGTCTTCACATTTATCATCTGTGGAATCATCTGTGGGCTAACACGGATAACTCAGTATAAAAATCACCCAGTTGATGTCTATTGTGGCTTTTTAATAGGAGGAGGAATTGCACTGTACTTGGTAAATAATTTACTATTATTATTTGACAACCCACAATTGAAAATAGAAAACATGCATAGAATATTTTACACTGTAATAACTTACTTGAAATATATTTATATTCATGCAAAAATCCCTGGCTGCATCTCCATTCTAAAGCCAAAACACATATCCCACTTTTAATAAAAGAGTTTATTGAACTCTTATTATGGGCCAAAAATTGTGATTTGTAGGATTATTGCTGCTTTTTATCTTTACGCTATCCAAATGGGGGCAGGGCAGGGACTATTATCACTAGTGTAATTATCACTTTACAGATGAAGAAAGTGAATATTAGTGAAAGCAAAGGTTTAGTGAGAGGTTACACAACTTGCCCAACAACACAAATTTAGCACCTGAATGTAACTATGATCCAACTAATACTGAATTTTTTAACAGTCCTCTATCTTCAAACCTGATTTTCCTCTAAGGAAAACATGCTCAGCATAAGGAAACTGAGATTGTTCATATCATTCAGTTTTACATTCATTCATTCATTCATTTCACATTTATTCAATATCTAATCTGTGACTGGCAACTATACTGAATATTAAAGCCAATGTTAAAACTGTGACAAATTAGATATATTCTTTTGAAGCTTACCATGTAAAGACTGACAAAAATATAAATGTTTTCAATATGTTACATAATACCATAGGGTAGGAACAAAATGCTTTGGGAATAGCAAACTGCCTCAGGAAGTTAGAAAAGCCTTCACAGAAGTGATATATTAAAAAAAAAAAAATGAGAGTTTCTTAGGGTAAGGAAAGGAGGAAGAGCATTCAAGAGAAAGAAACTGCAAAGAGATGGACATGTGAAGGAGCAAATATTAGTGAAAGGTAAGGGGAAAAGAAGAAAGAGAGAGAATGGCCAGGTTTCTGGCTTGGAAGACTGGACAGATGGTGACTTCATTAGCATACCAGGTAAATGATAGAAGAAACAGGTTGGTGGGAGGAAGGGAGTTGAGGAGCTCAATTGAATCAATAGGCAGTTGAATATTTGTATCTGGATTTCAAAAGAGCAATCAGTACTGGAGAAACAGATTTGGAAATCATAGACATCACTGGTGGAAGTATCATTGTAGTTATCTGGGGTGTATAAAATTGCCAGGTCATAAGAATAAAAAGGAGCCATGGAATACTCATATACAAGTGACATGCAGAGGAAAAGACAATAATGAAAGAAACTGAGAGGAGCTGACAGAGAAATGAAAATTAATTATCTACAGCCATAGTTCTCAATTGTTGTCTTGGTGTACTTGGGAAAGGTATTACATGAAAATTATTATAAAAATATAGTGAAAGTACTTAAGCATGCTATGATTTTATAATTTGTTTCATTTTTATAAAATAGCACAGTCAGGATTGTCATTATAAATCTTATTTTTACTCATGTGCTTTCTTCAGTGGAGGAGAAAGGGATCAAATTAAAATTAATGTGGCAGAAATTGTGCAGAAGCTTTGGTTGTTTATGGGAGTGCAAGTTGGCAATATGTGTTACAGCAGAAATAAAGACTGAGAACTGCCACTCTAGTTCATGCATTGTCTTTGCACATGTGCGATATCATGGTGTCCTAGAATTCACATAACCTTATAGTTTGAAAGATTTGGGAATGAATCTCAAATTTCAAATTTTTTATCCAAGTTACATAGCCTCTTAGAAGCATGTTTCTTCTCAACATACAATGGATAAAGTAAGGTTAACAACTATCTGCCTAATATCATAATAACAATTAAACAACTACACTCATACATGCCATAATGACATTTCAGTCAATGATGGACCACATATATGATGGTGGTCCCATAAGATTATAATACTGTATTTTATTGTACTTTTTCTATGTTTAGATATGTTTAGACATACAAATATATATTTAGGTATACAAATGCCTACAGTATTCAGTACAGTAACATGTTGCATAGGTTTGGGGCCTAGGAACAATAGGCTATCCCATATAGCCTCAGTGTGCAGTAGGCTATACCATCTTGGTTTGTGTAAGTACACTCTGATATTTGCATGACAAATCACCTATTGACATAGGTCTCAGCATGTATCTTTGTCATTAAGCAATGCATGACTATACCTGTATATCACAAAGCTTACAGTCCACATGCAATCAGAACTTACAGTATAGTGGAAGATTTTCCTGAATGTACAAACTTAAGTACAATTACTAATAGAACATTATGTAGGGACTGCTCATTTTGGCGAGCTCTAATGGTGAAAGCATAGATAAATATTATTTAAGAGAAGATTTTAACCAGGAATTAAAATAGTTGGGCAGGCAAGAGCCTGACCTTATTCCATTCCTGTTTGGACTCTATGCCCTAAAGTTGGAAATTTATCAATTCTAAGCCAATTTTGTTGTTCATTGTTAAACATTCTATAATAAGTTAAAATCAATAAAATTTCTTTGTTTTAACTCGAAAAGTAGATAGTGGTTACCTTCTATTGAAATTAGCACACAAAGAGCTGTCTGCTGCTTGGTCTTATTACTAAGCCAAGCATCTCAAAAATTTAAAATCCAGCAGGGATTAGATCTTCTATGTGTAAAAATGGTAATAATTTTGAGTATAAACTTTAGCTTTCTCCAAATTTTTGCCTCCCAAATCTAAAACAAACAGAAAATTGATACATGGAGTATGAAGATAAAATTATATAAAATTTGGCTCAAATTTAGTGCAGTGGTACTAAATTGATCACATAGTACTTCCCAATTCAAGACCAAGTTTATATGAGAAAAGAATGTGGGTGCCCCAATCTGGTGACAGTTTCTGCCTTCTCTTCCAAAAGCACTCTACACAATGCTGAACACAAAAGGTTGTACACAGTGTGAGTTGTAACCATATATTTCTCTGACCTCATTTCAAAACCTGATATCATGATTTATGAATGATCTGTTGTTCTATATTATCTACACCTTTTCTGCTTCCCATCATAAAGTGTGATTGAAAATGGAAGGTAAAATAAATCATTTAAGCCATTCAAGATGTCACTCAACAAGAAGTTCTTAAATCCAGAAAAATGAATAGCTTTGAAAAGCAGAAAAATGTCCTCATTTCATTCATTGTCTGCCTTTTGTTCTCAAACCATACAATGGATAAGATTAGCAAAAGCATCCAATGGGATTTCTGAGCATATTAGTTTAGTGATTTATGAGATAATTTATAAATTATTTCCCCAAATAATTTTAATTTCTTTTTTTTGTTATTTGAATTAGTCAATGGTGTATAGGGAGCACATACTTATCTATGCACTTCAGTGGGTACTCTGAGGATAATTCTTAGTATCTATGTCTTCTGGTGCATGACATTTATTGTTTCCTCCTGAACACTAGGGCCTGTACGCTGTGGGGAATTTCCTGCCTAGTGAAGACAGTATGTTTCAGCACAGAGAAGCCCTGAGATCTTTGACAGACCTCAACCAAGACCCCAGCCGAGTTTTATCTGCCAAAAACGGTAGCAGCAGCGATGGAATTGCTCACACAGAAGGCATCCTCAACCGCAACCACAGAGATGCCAGCTCGCTGACAAACCTCAAAAGAGCAAATGCCGATGTGGAAATCATCACTCCACGGAGCCCCATGGGGAAGGAGAACATGGTTACCTTCAGCAACACACTGCCGAGAGCCAACACCCCATCGGTAGAAGACCCGGTCCGAAGAAACGCAAGCATTCACGCGTCTATGGATTCCGCGAGATCAAAGCAGCTCCTCACCCAGTGGAAGAATAAGAATGAAAGTCGGAAGCTGTCCCTGCAAGTAATAGAGACTGAGCCCGGCCAGTCACCGCCCAGATCCATAGAAATGAGGTCAAGCTCGGAGCCATCGAGGGTGGGGGTGAACGGAGACCACCATGCTCCTGGCAATCAGTACCTCAAGATCCAGCCTGGCACAGTCCCCGGGTGCAACAACAGCATGCCTGGGGGGCCACGGGTGTCCATTCAGTCTCGCCCCGGGTCCTCACAGTTGGTGCACATCCCCGAGGAGACCCAGGAAAACATAAGCACCTCCCCCAAAAGCAGCTCTGCTCGGGCCAAGTGGCTGAAGGCTGCCGAGAAGACCGTGGCCTGCAACAGGAGCAACAGCCAGCCCCGAATCATGCAAGTCATAGCCATGTCCAAGCAGCAAGGCGTCCTCCAAAGCAGCCCCAAGAACACCGAAGGCAGCACGGTGTCCTGCACTGGCTCCATCCGCTACAAAGCCCTGACAGACCATGAACCCAGTGGGATCGTGAGGGTCGAGGCTCACCCGGAGAACAACAGGCCCATCATACAGATCCCGTCCACCGAAGGCGAAGGCAGCGGCTCCTGGAAGTGGAAAGCCCCGGAAAAGGGCAGCCTTCGCCAAACTTACGAGCTCAACGATCTCAACAGGGACTCGGAGAGCTGCGAGTCCCTGAAAGACAGCTTTGGCTCTGGAGACCGCAAGAGAAGCAACATTGATAATAATGAGCACCACCACCATGGAATCACCACCATCCGCGTCACCCCAGTAGAGGGCAGCGAAATCGGCTCAGAGACGCTGTCCGTGTCTTCTTCCCGCGACTCCACCTTGCGGAGAAAGGGCAACATCATCCTAATCCCGGAAAGAAGCAACAGCCCCGAAAACACTAGAAATATCTTCTACAAAGGAACCTCCCCCACACGGGCTTACAAGGACTGAGCGATGGCCATCCCATCCTTTGGGCTACTCCCGAAAGACCACGTATCCATTCCACCTGTGCTCTGTTCCGGCCGACTGGGAAGTCTCGCCAAGCTCGGTCGTCCACCATCAGCCCGGAACTCTGTGACTCTGAAGAGCGACTACACTGAAACTTGTAGATTTCACATCAAGGGGAGGGAAAAGCACAATGCAAGAACCTAACTAATGCGATAATAATGGGAAGCGTTTTCTTCAGACCTGTCTCCAAACTCAAAAGGGTTTGCAGAGGGCAGTTCCAAAAGAAAGTGGTTTCCTTCAAATCTGTACTATTTTACTTCCTGAATGTGCCAACTATGGGGATTTTTCTTTATAATTCGCTGTAAGAATCCAGAACACACACAGGTTTTCCCTACAGCAGAGGCCATGCAGTATTATATATTCATTTTGCAGAATCTGCACCTAAAGCTCAATATGGGTGGTGCTGATTATTATAGTGCGTATACCATGTAAACTCTCAAACTCTATTTAGCTGTGATATAGTGATGTGCAATTCCTTGTCCAAGAAATACTACTTTATTAAGAAGATGCTGGCTGCTTTGTGTTAGAATAGGACACCCCTCCAGCTTCTCCATAGTGGCTGTCACAGTCAAAAAATGAAGAGGTTTATGTGCATTTCTTCAAAATTCTGCTTCCTTCAACATGAAAAATTGTGTAGGAATATTTTCAGTGGAAGGGAATAACTAGTACTTTTCTGCATAGTTTTTCTGCTGCTTACTTTTCGTTTAAATATAGGTACTGCTAATGAATCTTTTAGTGAGTAAATTTGCATAATTTTAAAAATACATTGTTTTAGAGAATCTTTTGAAATCGTTGTGATCATATTTTGCTTTTTATGGCTTCTTCTTTATTTACAGATTTAAAAATTTTTTTTTGATGCTATAGATACGTTCTTCTATTTTAAAAGAGAAAATAACAATTGATGTTTCTTGAGGAAAATATACTGCTGTGAATTTAGAAACAAGAAATCTGAGCCAAAACTTGACATTGTGGGTTATATTGCCAGAAATGTTGGTCAAGTTTACCCTTAGGTATCTCCAACCAGCTGACTTAGGTTGCCATTTTAACAAGCAATCTGAAAATTCTATTTGGCTCCAGATCATTAAATTTTTCGATAATCTGATGACCCGTAAATTAGAGCCGCTGTAGTTGGGTTTGACCCTCTTCCCTAAAATATTTCTGTTAATTGGATACCAACAGGAAAAATCTGAAAAAAAATAAATAAATATTGATAAGTAAAAGTATCTCATGGTATAAATGAAGAATGTATTGCTTCAAAATATCTGAATAGGCACAGCTTTCGTGCTTAATGTGCAAACAAGAGTTTTTGCTACCTATCCTAAATCAAGCCTTGAGCCTAAATCAAAGGGAACCAATATCATTGGTAATAATATTAAAAACAAAATGTTGTGAAGAGTTTTCCAACTTAAAAATTTAAAGTATGAGAAATATTTGGTTCTTGGAATTTAGTATTATACCTTTTTTACACCATTTCTTAAGAATTCTAATATACACTTGATGATTGCCAAGGGAATAAAAGGAAACAACTGAGCTGGTTGATCTGATTTTCCTTCACTTTGCAATGAAAACAAAAGTAACAGGAGTTGTTTAGAGATGAATAGCATCACATCATTATCAGTTTCTACATGAAAAGGGCAGAGCTTTCTAGAGAAACCAACCTCCTAAGGCATTAAGAATTTAGCTGAAACCAGCAGAATTGAAAACTCTCTGGCAATAAAATACAGACTCAACCATATCCCTTCTGGCAATTTCTTTCTCAGAGAGGGGAGTGGGAGTAAAACGTTGCCTTCCCCACTTCTCGCCACCACCACCACCATGACACTCCTGCTGGCTTTTGCCAGTTCATAGAGGGAAAAGGTGGACTGGTTTTAGTACTCTGGAGAACAAAAATCGCTGCAGCATTTCCGGTGCAGTATGCTATTTCCTAATCTTTCCTATTTCTTAACAAAAGATTTTAAAGTACTTCTCTAGTCATTGAAGTTTTTTTCTTTACATAGATATTGATATATTCTTTTTCTACTCAAAGTGCCAAAGGCTACAGTTTTTAATGACTTAACAAATTGTACCACATTGTTAAGGAAATATAATGATAGACACTAGAACTCAGACCTCTGCATGTATATTTGATAACATGTCTTTTGTAAAAAAAAATTACAAAAAAAATTTGTTTACATTCCACTGGTACCTTAATTTAAAATAAATCAGACTAACAGGTGGTATCTCTTCTTAGTGTTCTATTTATCTTATTTGCTAATGGGAGCACTTCTTCCTTTGTTAGGCTGTGCTTTATTGATAAAACCAAGTATTGAATAAAGAGAGTTAATTATCTTTTTAAAGTAAATAAAATTATGAGAATATATATAATATATATAAAGTATTGTGTTTAATAAAATGTTATGCAATGTTTTCCAAACTGATAAAGTTTGTAAAGTGCTATAAATGTATTTTGTTAAGTACAGATCAAAGCTATTGTGTGAGTATATTGTGCTAACATCATAGAAATAAAGATTAGATTTCTTCATCAAAATTGGAATATTTTGTTTTTTACTTCACACAGAGTAGGAATGGGTAATAATTTTATGTATAGAAAAATAGCTGAGGAAGTAATAGAAAAATAGCTGAGGAAATAAGAATAAATTAAAACTGATTAAATTCATAATTGTTTAGAAGAAAGAATATTGTACTAAGAAAGAAAAATTTGCCAAACTATGACATGTTTTCTTATTGTGTAGAATTTTTATTTTATGCTTATTATTGATTATTATACTTATTTAGACATATTTTTCACATATCAATGTTATATAAAAAAGAAAATATGAAGGAGTCAGGGTCAATTGATCTGAATCAATTTTTGACTAAGAGTAGTTGATGTTTATATTTTCCCAAACATTATCACTCTCTGTGTCATCATGGGCATTGGTGTTACAGCATTTCTTGAAGAAAATCCTTCACTATTAACTCCAAGATTTTCTTCCAAGTCATTAACATGTATTACATGAATTTTTCTACTGGCACTTTCTATGTCTCACTAGAAGGTATGAACACAAGTTTTTAGACCACAGCCATGACTTACACTTTACTCAAATGATCCCTAAGCAGTTTGTTGAATGAAATGTGAAGTAACAGCTGTTCAGTAACACCATTGCTGCCTGGCCAACAGCCATTGTATGATACTATTTATATCAATCGTAGAAAAACATCTGGTTTTAGGTAAGTTAATTTGAAAAAAATGATGTGCATCTTATATAATGGTTGAAATACAGTCTTAAGCCTCTCTGGGTCTTGGTTTTTTCAACTCTAAAAAGAGAACATTCAGTCATATTTTCCTTTCTAAAGGATGTCCTAAAGTCCTTTCTAAACCTTCATGAATTAGAATTATGTATTTTATCCAGTGAGCAAAAATTCCTGAGAGAAAATGGGAAATAACTTGATGACTAAATAATTAGTATTATTGTCTTTGACCTCAAGGTTAATAGAGGCAAGCAGATTGGGGTTGCTGAGAGCCTACGTCAACCATTCTACCACATAACGTTTCAAAACAGGAGCTTTGTATACAGGTAGCCCTGATATGCCTTTCTCAAGAGGTTCCAAGTGAGTAGATTCTTGGTTATTACATACATAAGAAGCTATCGCTAGGGGCCATGTCGTTTCTATCTTTTACAGGTAGAGTCTTCACTTGATATCTTGAGTCATTTCATACTAGAGTCAAAGGGGATATGGAAAATTTATATGATTTAGAGAGTAATATAATCAAAATAATATGATTGAAGAAACTTAAAAAGACTTGAGATGATTTACCCTAAAAGAAAAACATGGCCTGAAAAGTGGGGAATGGCCTGTTTATCACTGGATACTTCATTTTCTCTGCTTATAAAATGTGTTTTCTGCCTTTATTCTGTAGATAGCTTCTAGAATGCTCTAGGATCAAATGTTTCAATTTGAAGAAAACATGGATTTCAGTATTAACATAGGGATTACAGTTAAAATCTAGTCATAGAACATCCCCAGTGACTGTGCTCTCTAGTAGAAAAAGAATATCTAGAGGAACCATTTGATATGGAATGACTTTTATTTTACTGTCCCTACAAGTGTTAGCTAATGAAAGTCTCTAATCGTGTGTATCTGTGCACCATAGTTAATGATGAGTGAAGAACTGAGTAACACTGTAGTTCTGCCACCAGTTCTATTTAATAAACTGTTGAGTGCCCATTTTATCTTCTTTACTCCTCCTACCTTAACATTCTCAGTCATTTTTTGCCTATGAGAAAAATTCATCTAAATTCTAAAGTGACCATTTGAAAATGGTACAACTGACAATCAGATGAGTAAGTTTGAAGAAAAAAATATGAGAATTATATTCATATAAAATCTCTCTTTCCCCTTATTCACCTAAGGATATTGTATACCTGGATACTTCCTTATGGGAGTGGGAAGGAGGAAATCGAGGAGAGCTACTTTTTCTTTAAGAAGATGACACGGAAGTGGTATCTATCATTTATAATCCACTCAATCAGTCCAAACCAGACCACCTTGATACAAGAGAAACTGAGGATTATTGTCTGTAACTGGGAGGTCCTGGGCCCAACTAAACTTTTGTGTCTTCTTTAACTAGGGGACCTGGGAACTAATCATCAGTTTCTGTCACACCAGCTTCAAGACCTTTACAATATGACCTACAAACCCTCATACTCTACTACTTCTTCCAAAAAACCTATTGCTGCAATAGGCTTGGCTATATATATATATATATATAAAGCAGGCTTGGCATCTTCATTTATATATATAAATCCAAGTCTCTGTGTGTGTGTGTGTGTATTTTTCACTCCTTTTCTGAAATGTCTTCACTCCCTTTTTATTAAATCCCTTTTGTCCATCAAGGCTAAATCTCAATCTTCTTCTACTTAATTGTAGAGTTGGAAGGGACCTAAAGTGATTTACTCAGTCATGCAACTGGTAGGTGTCAGGGGTGCGCTGAGAGCAGGGAACAGCTATCTTCTGTTCACTTTTTAATCCCGCACAATTAGCACATTACCCTACCACGTAGGTTGAGCACTCCATAGCATTTTTAAATGAAAGAATCTTCTGACACTGGAGTCTGCACATTTTTCAAAAGGGCTAACCTGGTCTTTCGCTTTTGAGACTACTTATAGATCTTTGTCCTGTATGACCAACATATTCACTTAATTTCACAGTTTGTATTATTAATCATTTTCATTAGTGAGACATTGAATATTTACTATACACTAAATCATAAGCTCTTTATAAGTAGCTCCTAAGTATGTTAGGTTTTAAATAGATATAAGAATAATTGAATGAGTACAGTATGTTCTAGCTACTGTGAATGAACAAATATTAAAATAAATAAATAAGAGAATTTATGACATAAAAGAAGATATGAGGGGAGTGGATTTGGAAGAGAAAAAATGTCCATTTCATTATGCCCTGAAATTTCATAGTTCTCAAAAATCCACTCTAAGATGCTGATGCAAAACTTATTCTATTATGTTTTTCTCCTTTTCTTACTTTAAAAAATGTTGACATAGTATAAGCCAGATTTCTTAGAACAAGCAGTCTTCTCACAATACGTATGATTTAACAGCAGTTGTTTGTTCAAATGTTCCCACCTCCACAGTAATCTTTGTGGAGGCAAGTGCCAAAAAAGTGTACCTACTTATTCTATCATTTGAAAAAATAAAAACAGAAAAAACAGAAAACCCTCTTTATAATCAGACATTAAAGTTATTTTTTAAGTTCAAAATCACATATTAGAGTCCAGGACCTATAGTTGTTTCTTCGTAACTGCCATATCCATGGCTCTCTTATTTCCATCCAATCTGGCATGAGAATATCACAATATTTTTCAGAATTCTGAAATAGTGAAAGAGTATTTGGGGTCAGGCTTACAAGTATTCAACTTCCAGCTCCATCTACTCCATGCCTGTTTTATTGTCTATACAATAGGTATAATAATTTAGGGTCGTTATGATAATTAAATGAATAAATATAGGTAAAGCATTTAAAACATTGTGTGACATTTAGTAAGCAGTGTTAGTTCTTATTTTTATTATTTAGCAGTGTTATGTGGCTTCTTTATCTCTACTCCTTACCTTTCTCTACAATTCTAGACTCAAATATACAACTGCCTATTTGATTGGTATCTCTACTTACATATCTATAATTATCACAAATTTAACATTTTCAAAATATATTTCCTGATTTCTATTCCCAAACTTGTTTCTTCCTCTTAGTAATAGCAGACTACCTTCCCACCCCAGCTGCCAAAGAAAATTCTGAACTATATTCTTAATCCATTCCTTTCCCTCACCATTAACTCCCAAACTAAGTCCTATCAGCACTTCCTTCAAAATATATCTCCACTATTAGTAATCCATAGTTAAGGCATAATTGTTGTAATTGTTTGAATGTGACTCTCTTTTCTACTTTGATGGTCTTCTTATCTTAGAAAAAGAATACATCATAAACTTTCCTTTATTCCAGTTGACTGCAGTCAACTAATCAAGGCAGGCTCTCTACTGCTGTCAAACACACACAGAATTAAGGCAGATACTAAAAAAAATTAAAAATAGAGATTTCTAACCAAACTGTCAGGAAACTAATCACTGCAGTGAAAATACAAGTTAGTATAATATATCTCAATATTTCTGAGCAATTAATCTCCAAAGCTGAATTCCTGAATTCAGTATCAACTCCATCTGAGCTCAAATAAGTGAATCATGAATGAATAGCCATAGAAATATCCTTAAGTTCTCACATAAACTAAAAAGAAATCAAGTACAACAGATTTCAAGGATATTAGGTAAACAGGTATCAGTCAGAGGATCAGCAGGAAACAAATGACATAATTAAAGGATTTAATTAAAAAGATTTGGGATGAAGGAACTATTTTCAGTCATATGAGGAGAGCCGAACAACCAAAAAGAGAAAATAAAGCACAACAGGACTATTAATAGTTACAGTGGCAAGTCTTCGCTACCTCTAAGCCTAAAGAGACGATAAATTTGAGTATTGCCAAATCATGATTCTAGGCTCCAGGTTGTAGAAATTAAGCATCTGTACAGAGCCTCTGCACACTGGGAGTTAACATGCCTTTCTGCTCTCTGCCTGACTGTATGCAATGCTATTTACCTTTTTGATAGTACCTATTATGAGTTGAATTGTGTCTCCAAAATTCATATATTGAAGACCTAAACCCCTGTACATCAGAATGTGACAATGTTTGCAGTTTTTAACATTTATCCTGGGAGGATTTTCAAGATGGCTGACCAGAGACATCAGCTGTCAGTTACCTGATCATCTCAGAAATAAGGAAAAGCTTTAGATGGGGGGGGGGGAGATATATATATATATCTCAGGTATAATTCTGAAGGAAAAGTGCCAGAAACTACCAGAGATTTCAGAGGAAGAAGTTGCAGGACAGAACAAGAAGGAGCAAGATAACAGCTGAGATCAACCCCTAATAAAGTCTTAGAGTCCAGTGAGAAGGGTAGGTGGAACAGTTTGTTTCTC